ACAATTAGACAATTCCTTAAGGTTTTCAATGTTACAAAGTATGTTTTGAGATTAATCATGTAGTGCTTGTGTGCAATGACTAATAATAAATATTGAATGCAAAATTAATATACACTACAAGTTGGTCATTAGTAAATGAAAGAGGATAAGTTGGTGATTAGTGAAATAAGTAGGGTTAAAATTGTAAAAAGTAATCATGGACTTTGTACTCCAACACAAATTCCACCTCTTGGGGTGGAATTCTCAAGTCCATGAGGTCCACGGATTTGTACTCTAAAACACTGTGTGTGACATGGATTTGTCTCTTTTAACTCCATCAAGCAAACGATGAATTGTGTATAAAGTCCATGATTGTTGATTTTTATGTACCAAATCCATAATGAAATCCATTAAGCAAACAAGAACATAGTTATAAAGACTTCCCATCTCACCAGTTGTTGCTTTTGATCCTAAGCCCGCACCCGTTATGTGTGGGTAATTAATCCCTAGTCCTAATGCATCCAGTAGTGTTTGTTCATTTAATTATCCATACACATCTATATGTGTGTAATGGAGTAATGAAATACGTGAACAATTATGGGATACTATAAAATAAACTCTATGGTGTCACGACTACAAAAAGTGGGCTCAGACTACTAAGATGAAAATGATGTGTGATACGCTTCGAGCAGTCTAGTTATTCTACTAACTTGAAGATTCGTTAGTATATATTAACTAATATTCAAAATGTATGAACTAATATCCAAGTCTGCTAAGTATGTAGATAACACAGACTAGTATTCAAAACATCACAAACTAGTATCCAGATAGCAGATACCAACTAACTAATATCCACAATCAACCAACTAGTATTCAATATGGATACTCTTATGGGTTATCTAGATACTCTTATATGTTATCTGGATACTAATTATGTGTTGTTTGGATACTATTTTGTGTTGTCTAGATATTAGGTTGTGAATTTGGGAAAATAGTTGATTCATGGTGGATATCAGTTAGCAAACTTTTAATACTAGTCTATGCTCTCCTATATACTTTAGTATCTGCTAACGAATCTTCAAATAGCAGATTAACTTTTCCCGGGGTCACTTCTCTTTTCCTTTCCTTTTTTCCTTCGAAACTATAATGAATAATTATGTTTTCTTTTCATATTTACAATTTGTGTGATGTATCTTTTCCTTTAAATTATTAATTTTTTTAGACCATCTCCATCCCATAAATCGTTTAGCAATTTTTAAAATGGTCCCCACAGCCACATCAACATCTTTCATTTATCAATTTACAACCATCTCCATCTCTGCAATTCTTTAGCAAATTCTATTGGCGGGCCCTACAATATATCCATAATATTTTTTGCAACAAATAATAATAAAACATAATGCATAACATCTTGAAAATCATATGTTTATGTACAAATTAGGATTTAGTAAATTGAGGTACGCGTGTAATTTGCTAAACTTTGTTTTTTTTTCTTGCTTTATTATCAATCCTTTTGTGTTTGTTTTGTCATAATCGTAGGTATTTTTATTTAGATGTGTTTCTTTATAGTTTAATGAATGTTCAACTCAACTAGTTTTATGGATGCATCCTTATTATCTTAATAGTGTTTGTTCTCTCAATGGTTTGAGTGCACCCTCCAATCAATTACCCTTGTCTTCTCCAATGGTATGCAATAGTCATAAATTATTATAAAACCCGCCTACCTTCATTTTTCCATTCAACACAATGTGAACATTAAGTGTAAGTTTTTTTTTTTTTTTTTTTGTTGACAAACACCTTACGTGTAAGTTGAGGAATATGTCTGTGCGTGATTGCTAGATGCCATTTCAATGTGTGCATCACGTATCGATTACCAATGGTGAATATTGCATTGTTTTGTAGAGTTTGTAACTGTCTATAAAAGTATTAATGAAGTGCTTTGAGTCTTGTGTCTTGCGTCAAGTTATTTTACATAATTGTTGACTTTATGCACCTTTTATGCATAGACGAGATGCTTTGATTCATCATCTTTTATTATTAAATATGGGTGTTGTTGTGGGGTAGAGTATGATTGACCATACATGTTTCGTGTCTTTGCATGATTACTAGATATTTTTTCCGCGGTAATTAAGTTTCCTATTGAAGCCCTCTTGACAAATAGCCAAGAATCAGACCTTACAAGACTCAACTTTTACAGCAAATAGCTAAAATAAGAGCAGCCTTTTAACTTCAGAACAAAATGAAGTATTACTAATCGAGTAAAACAATAACTCTTCTGTTTGAGACGCGATACCCCAGTACGGCAACCCGTTCCTGTTGGACGCCTGCCTGCACACACGAACACGGAGGGGGCGCCTGGGCCCGTTAATCCTCCGACGCCCAAGTTAGTTTCTAGAAAGAGAAGTGTCTCAAAGCTAGAGTTTAGTGAGAGAATCCAACCTGTGTAAATGCTACCAACTGCCCCTATTTATACTCACCAGAGTTCGAGGTTGATCTCCTCCACGTCACTGTCTCCATTTAATGTCTTGTACTTTCCTGGTCAGATATCCCAATTGTCTTGTCAGGCTTCTGGCACGTGACAGGCGCCCGCAGACGATGGACCACTTGACAGCCTGGCCTCCCTTGACAGTCTGACCTCCTTTGGCTTCTAGTGTCTTATCTTCATGCGTCCCCCACCTTGCTTGGGCCTTGCCCCCCAATTCTGTTGCTTGGAAGTCCAAACTGCCGCCCATTAGGCCTCGCTCATAATACCCCCAACAATTGCCCCCCAGTTAGGTGCTCATAGCTTCGCTTTTGAGCGCCTAGCTGACCCAGCTGTTGCGGCCTTGCCCTTCCTTTTATCAGTAGGCGCCCAACTTCCTGAGTACGTCCGTCTTCACGGCGCCTGAACTCTTTATTGGCCACCTTTTGTCGTGTTGTCCGCTTCGAAATTGGCTTGCTTGGCCTCTTTGCTTTTTATGGGCGCCTTCCGTTTTGTGCGCCCTCCCCCTGTGCTTTACGGGCGCCTTTCAGCATGGGCGCCTCTATCACTTATGCCCCCCTCACGAGCGGGTGTTTGATACCGGCCCCACGTTTTTCTTGTTTGAATTTTGGGAAATTTTTTAATTTCAAATTTCGAATTTAGAAAATTCGAAAAGAGAAATTTAAATTTGAAAAAATTCCAAAAAAAGAAAAGGTAGGGGGGAGCTCAAAAGCCCGCCCTTGACAGTGACACGTGGCGCGCAACGCGAGCCTTGACTCGGGTTCACCTTTCCTTTAAATACCCCTTCCCCCTTCAGTCCTTGTCACTTTCCACAATCTCACCTATCTCTAAGATTTTGCTCTGACTTCTCTCTAGATTCCGTCCTGACATCTCTCTAGATCCCTCTTTGCAATCGTCAGCATTCTCCTCAAGTCAGCCAAAAATGTCGTCGCAAGCAGACAAAGTTGTCGGCCAGGGCGCCCAAGGTGCGGGTGAGGATAGAACGGGCGCTTCGGCAACAGGCGCCTCGGGTGCGGGTGGTGAGGCAAGGCGTCCGACACAGAGTGGTAAGGAATCTTCTCGACTTACTGGTTATTTACTTTACCTTTATTCTAGCTACCCAGGGTAGGGCGTCACTTACTCCGCGTCCACGTTGCGCCTAGGTCATTTGTTGGTTTAGAGAGGGCGTCTGCTTCTACGTCCGCGGGTCCATCAAGCGCCTCGACTCCTGGCTTCATGCCTGCCGATGGATCGTACAAGATTTCGACTTGGGAGAATTCATTTCCTCCTGATCATCTCCCAGAGGGGACATCCACGCTGCCCTTCGAAGTGGCAGGACCGCAACACACGTCAACTGTCACCTTGGCTCGTGTTCATGAGCTGGTGACCAGCCTCCAACTACCTCGGGACTCGATTGGGGTGTATCAGGAATATTTCCGCTTCGGGTTGCGATTCCCTCTCGACCATATCATGGAAGGTATTTTGACTACTTGTGGTTGTCCGCTGGGGCGCCTATCTCCCTCGATCATCGTGATCGTGATTTTGTTCAAGCTGAGGTGCCGTGAACATCACGTCGAGCCTACCTTCAACTTATTCCGGTATTTCTATAGGATGGCGCCCCTCGACAACTGCTTATCACTTCAAAAGAGGAAGAAGCGCCCCTATCACTTTGTGGAGCGGTGCCCAAAGTTGGGGCGCCCAATACTGAGGCGCACAACGCTGAACCCGTGGAGCAGGAGTGTAACTCCGGGGAGGAAGAACCTGAGCCCCTGATTCGTCGGGGGAAGCGGGCTGGTTCCCCCTTGGAGTTCCCCCTTGGACAACGTCAGCAAGAGAGCTGACAGGGGTAAGGAAAAGGTGGGTGCCGATGCCTCGGGCGGGGAGGGGGCGCCTTTCAGTACCGCCTTAACGAAGAGGGGCAGTATGTGGGCCCCGATGGGCGCCCCCCAATCTTTCAGCCGCGCCGCTCGGATGTTGGGCGCATCGAATTGCCGTGATCCCCGCTGGTGGCGGTCGACCGAGGCTACGCTATGGGGATGGCAATCACGGCTGCCAAGATGTGGCAAGTGCCGTCAGAGATGAATGGGGATCATCTCTTCGCGGAGCTGGCCAAAGTGGGCGCCAAGGTATGTACCATTTTACTTGTGTTCTCGCTTTTTTGAAATTGTCTTTACACAAATGCTAACTCTCTTTACTTGGTGTATGCAGATCCTCCTTTTTGATGAGAGAGGCGCCCGACGCCTCTCTGAAACCTAGCAATAGGCGCTCGAAGCCTCTACCTCTGCCTCCTCTCTGAAACATGATCTCGAAAACGCGACTGAACGTCGCAAGCAGATGGTGATGGAGTGCGAGGAGTTGCAGATGAATGCGGCCATGGAGGTGTCGTAGTTTCAGGGCGCTCTCGACGAAGAGCGCAATAAATCGGCAACCCTTCAGGCGGAGAAGGAGACGTAGGCGCAGGAGGCAGGCGCCCAGGCGAGTGAGATTGATATCCTCAAGGAGGAGAAGAAGAGGTGGCAAGACGCCTGCAAGGACTGCAAGAAAAATTTGAAGAGTCTGAGGTTGCGAAGAGTATGAGCACCAACGCCTGTTTGGCCGGCCTCCAAATTTTGAAGGTTAAGTTGGAGAAGGATCACCCCGATCTTACTTGGGATTTCACCGAGATGGCCGAGTATGTAATCGGGGAGATGGATACTCCACGTGAAGCAGAGAAGGCGCCCGAGCCTCCTACTGTAGAGGAGCCTCGAAGTGATTCTGCTCTTGCCTCACCTTTCCCAAAGGCGCCTAGTGCTGGGGATGCCAACTCAGGAGCTGAGTGAAAAATGGGCGTCAACCACAGAGGATCCCCTTTTTTTATATATGTAAACGTTTCCATTTGTGGGCGCGATCTACATATAAAATGTTCTCGTTGGTATTGCGATCGTATTGCTTGGTTTTACTTAACTTTTTATCGCTTGACTTGGGCGCAAAAATTGTGGGCGCTTTGTAGCCATTGGGCGCGAGGTTGGGCGCCAGTTCTGTTTATCATTGATTACCACGTTTCGAGGGCGCAAATTTGCCGACTTAGGGCGCAATATTGGGGCGCTTTGTGATTGACGGGCGCAAAATTGGGCGCTTTACTGACTTCACTTAACCATTTTAAACACACAATCGGGCGCAAAGTTGGGCGCTTTTTCTAACACCAAATTACTGGGCGTAAATTTTGGGCGCTTTTACTGAATGCGAAAAGGCGGGTACAAAGACGAAGTCACTATTGGGGCGCTGGAACACTGGGCGCTTTGGACACGACACGGCGCTATTTCGACGAGAGCTTTAGGCACAACACACTGCGCTTAACGTACTTGTTTTCAACATAAACAACACTCACAACTACGACCGCCTTTTGCCCTCCTGGTTCTCATCACGCGGAGGCGCTTCCCGCTCGCACGGCGTCCTCCTGGTAAACTCGCAGATTTTGCGCGTTCCATGTTCTTTTCACACTTTTGCCGTTAGTATGCTCTAGCTTGAACGTACTGTGTCCTACCATCTCTCTGACTAGGTATGGGCCTTTCCACTTTGGTGCTAACTTCCCCTCGCGGGCGTCCGGGCAGAAATCACGCTTGAGGACCAGGTCGCCTTCGATGATTCCATGAGCACGTATTTTCTTGTTGTAATACCGGGCCACTTGACGCTTCATTTTTTCCAAGCGGATAGCCGCCAGCTCCCTTACCTCGTCTGCCATGTCCAGCTCGTTGGTCCTTGCCTCGTCGTTGCTGTTTGGGTCGTACTGGACAACGCGGTAGCTTGGGGTGTTGATTTCCACTGGAATGACTGCCTCGCTTCCGTAAGTCAGGGCGAAGGGTGTTTCCCTAGTGGTTGTCTTGTAGGTTGTGCGATGCGCCCACAACACATTTGGCAATTCCTCCACCCTTTTGCCCTTGGCGCCCGCCAACCGGGTGTGTAACCCATGAAGAATACTTTTGTTGGCCGCTTCCGCTTGACCATTTTCCTGTGGGTACGCCACTGAAGAAAACCTCAACACGACCCCATTGTCGTCGCAGAACTCCACAAACCTCTTGCAATCGAACTGCTTTCCATGGTCTGTGACGATGGACTCAGGTAAGCCGAACCGAGTGAATATATTTTTCTTGGTGAACCTTCGTACCTGGGCTTCTGTGACCGTGGCCAAAGGTTCTGCCTCAATCCATTTGGAGAAGTAATCGACTGCCACTATCAGGTATTTCATTTGCCCAGGCGCCTTGGGAAAAGGGCCTAAAAGGTCCATGCCCCATTGGGCAAACGGCCAGACTCCTACATTGCCCTTCATGGGCGCCGCCGGGACGTGGATATCATTTGCGTGAATGTGGCACTGATGGCAGACGCCCACATGTGCCTTTGCGTCCCGTCTCATTGTTGGCCAGTAATAACCTTGTCGCAGCAGTGTCTTTTCCAAACTACGTGCTCCCGCGTGCATGCCGCACGTTCCGCTATGCACCTCCTCCATTGCCCCCCTGCTTTCCTCCTCATCTAGACACCTCAAGTATACTCCCGCATGCGACCTCTTGTATAACTTTCCCTCAATTATGGAACACCGGGCCGCCTTTCGGCGGAGGCGCCAGGCTTCTTTCGGGTCATCGGGCACCACACCTTGGGTCAAGAATAGTACGATTGGTGCCATCCGTGGCGCCCACGTTCCCCAGGGTCGCGACCAAATGCTCACAAGGCGCCTCTGCAGTGACTATGACTTTCCGCTCTTCCGCAAAATCCACAGCGGTTGCCAGCTTGGATAAAGCGTCTGCGTGAGCATTCTCTTCACGTGGGATGTGCACAAAGGAGATTTCCCCCAACCAGGCTCCCAGTTCCCTGACTCTTTGCACGTACCCTTCCAGTGATTCCTCTTTCACTTCAAATGTTGCATTAAGTTGATTCACGACGAGGGCCGAGTCGGACTTGACTTGGACTTTGTGGGCGCCCAGCTCCTTAACCATGGTCATGCCGACAATAACCGCTTCATACTCCGCAATGTTGTTTGTTTTCAAGGTGGCAAATCGCAGCGCGACCTCATGCATCGCGCCTTCGGGGCTTATCATTATGATACCTGCTCCAGCGCCCGTGCGACTGGCCGCCCCATCAACTTGAACTTGCCAGCAATTGTCCGTCCCCTTCTCTGACTCCGCTACACCCTCTGCGACAAAGTCGGCCAAGACCTGGGCCTTGATCGCCGGACGCGGCGCATACTTAACGTCGAACTCACTTAGCTGGACTGCCCACTTGACGAGGCGCCCGGCCACGTCCATTGACCCCAATGTGGATTTCAACGGGAGATTGGTGAGTACCACGATGGTGTGGGCCTAGAAGTAGGGTCTCAACTTGGTCGCGACCATCACAAAGGTCTTCCTCCGCCATGGGGATTTGGTGGTACCCGGAGAACATGTCCATGAAGCTCAGCATCTCGTGGTATGCTGTGGAGTCCACCAATAAGTCTATCCAGGGAATCGGGTAGGCGTCCATTGGACATGCCCTGTTGAGGCTCGTATAATCCACGCACATTCTCCAGTCTCCCGATGGCTTTGGCACAAAGACCACATTCGATAGCCAAGTAACATAAGAAGTTTCCTCGACCAAGTTAGCGCCCATGAGCTTGTCCACTTCGACCCTAAGCGCCGCTTCCTTCTCCGGCGATAGGTTCCTGCGCTTTTGCTGCACGGGGCGCCTGCCTTCTTCGACCGCTAATCTGTGAACGGCCGTTTCAGGTGCGACGCCCGGCATTTCCAGTGCACTCCACGCGAAAAGCTCTGCAAACTCTCTCAAGAGGGCGATGAGTCGTTCCCTCATTTCAGCGGGCGCCTCTGCCGAGATCCTCACGTGTCTTTCAGGACGTCCTTCATCTAGTGCTACCAGGAGTTCTTCGTCGGCAGCCTCGGCTCGAGGGGCCTCTTCTACCACGACTTCCATCACGTTGATTCTTGCATCGACGTGCCTTCGCTTCCGTCCAGTTTCCTTTGCATAACGTGGGGCGCCTCGTCCTCGAGCCACGCCCACCCCTTGCGGGGCAATGAATTTCAAGGTTTGGTGACAAGTGGAGGCCACCCCATTGAATAAGGCTAGGAGGGGCCTTCCAATGATCGCATTGTACTACGATGGGCAGTCCACTATTCCGAAATCTATGGCGCGCGTCACTCTTTGCTCCCCATCTCCCAAGGTGACCGGCATGCACACTAGCCCTATTACTCTGGCGGGCGCCCCCGAAAAACCGACTCGCACAGACTCTGATGGTCTGATCATCTCTGGTGATAGTTGCATGCGAACCACCGTATCTTTGAACAACACATCCATGGAGCTTCCCGTGTCGACAAGCATCCTTCTCACCTTGCATCCGGCTACCACTCCCTGTATCTCTAAGGCGTCCATGGACGGGAGCATGCATGCTTCTTCTGGCGCCTTGTTGAAGCTGATATCGATCGACTCTTGCACGTCTGCCGACGCCGCTCTCAACCGGCGGTTCGCCTCTATCTTTTCCCTCAAGTCCATCGTTCTCGAAATGGCTTCGATGGTTAGACGCATGCGATCGGGCGCCCTTTCTTGATCAAGGTCATAGGGCGGGGGTGGCAGCTCTTCCCTTGCCTTTACCGTGCTGGCCACGCACGCCCGGTGCACTCTTTCTTAAGGTTTCTTGACAAAGTCGTTAAGCATCCCTTGTCGGCCAAGCCCTGTAACTCTGTCTTCAGCTGATGACAATCGGCCGTATGGTGCCCCACTTCACATGGAAGTCACAATACTGATCCAAGTTCCGTTCGTTGGGTTGTCCCCTCATGGGGCCTGGCCACCTGATGTGATACCCCTTCTCCTTGACGTGTTGGAGTACGTTCTTCAGGGTGTCGTTGTATTCAGCGAAGTGTTCAGCCCCCCTTGGCGCCGGGCGCCCCACATCAACTCTCCTTGGCGGGGGATGGCTTGCGGGCGTATACCCCGAACCGCTCGGGGGGTACGGCCTCCGTGTCATCTCGACTTCTTCCCCTCTTGTCTTTCGCCTGTCCGCCCTTCTGGCTGCCAATGTTTCTTCGAGCATGATCACCTTTTGCACTCTGTGATCCAAATCTTCTGTGGATACCACGTCTCTCTTTGCGAGCGACCTACATAGCTCCTCGCTAGTGGTGCACTCATTCAGACACACTCCCAACACCGACGGCTGGGCGTCCTTCACTTCTAGGGCCACGGATAGCCACCTCTCGTAAAATTCTCTCAACGCTTCTTCCTCCTTGAACAGGGCGCCTATGGTCAAGGAGCGTCGCTTCCTGCTGGCGAATTTTGCCAAAAGCATCTCTGCAAACTGCTCAAAGCAATCAATGTGCCCCTCTTCGATCTGGTGATACCAGTCGAGGACCACGCCTGAGAAGGTGGACGGAAACACCTTGCACAGGGTGGCGTCTGTGGTGTTGTAGAGTTGCATTTTGGTGAAGTACCCGTTAAGGTGGTCCTCGGGATCCCCGGTCCCGTCATAGGTGGGGAGCGGGGGAATGTTGGTTCCTGCGGGCTCCGCCAGTATGCTACGTGTCAGGGGTTGCCTCACGGCGCAGTGGCGTGATAGGCTCCCCAGTATTCCTCCGTTCCACCCGCTAGCATCCAGCCCTCCATGATCACGTGGGCGCCACAAGCTCGGGCGCCTCAGACACCCCGATTCACTTTCCATCTCCGCCATTCTTTCCCTCTTCTTCGTCGGGCTGGGCGTCATCCTTTCACTCCTTTTCAAGGCGTCCACTTCTCGCCGAAGCGCCTCGATCGCCTCGTCCTGAGCCTCGATGATCCTGAACAATTCCTTTTTTGTGACCGAGACGCCCTCAGACCCCCGAAAGATGCCGTCACTTTCTTCGCCTTCATCCATCTCGGGCGCGTGCCCTCTCATCCGCTCCGATTGTTCCTCTGTGATTTCCTCTCTTTCTTCATTCATCGGCGCCTCCTCACTCATGCCTCCTGGTTATACCCCCCTTCCTGGCGCTCCAATTGTTTGAGATGCGATACCCCAGTACGACACTCACGAACCCGTTCCTGTTGGACGCCTGCCTGCACACACGAACACAGAGGGGGCGCCTGGGCCCGTTAATCCTCCGACGCCCAAGTTAGTTTCTAGAAAGAGAAGTGTCTCAAAGCTAGAGTTTAGTGAGAGAATCCAACCTGTGTAAATGCTACCAACTGCCCCTATTTATACTCACCAGAGTTCGACGTTGATCTCCTCCACGTCACTGTCTCCATTTAATGTCTTGTACTTTCTTGGTCAGATATCCCAACTGCCTTGTCAGGCTTCTGCCACGTGACAGGCGCCCACAGACGATGGACCACTTGACAGCCTGGCCTCCCTTGACAGTCTGACCTCCTTTGGCTTCTAGTGTCTTGTCTTCATGCGTCCCCCACCTTGCTTGGGCCTTGCCCCCCAATTATGTTGCTTGGAAGCCCAAACTGCCGCCCATTGGGCCTCGCTCATAATACCCCCAACATCTTCCTTGAACGAGGATACTAGCGCCTGTATCTGCTTCTCAGGACCACCAAATGATCGACTGCACCTTTCTTTCCAAATTAGCGCCATTGTCCAGCTCCACAGAGATCCGTAGATTCCTCCATAAGCTCCTCCCTTGTTCACATCTTTACATGCCTGCTGCAAACTGATGTCCCACCGATTCGGCCAACCATGCACTCTGCCAAAGACAGTCGTGAAGAACTGTTTGGCATAACTGTAGCTGCAAAACAAATGGTCTCGATTCTCAACAGCAGAACCACACATCACACAAGTCGGATCATCAATCACACCCCAAACGTGTAGCCTCTCCCTTGTTTTGATTCTGTCTAGTATAATCAACCCAGGGCCGGCCAAGAGGGTGTGCTGGCCAGTCCTCCGGCACAAGGCCTCAGAATATTAGGGGCCTCTATTTAGATTCGTTAGTTACCGATCGTATATTGTAGGTTGTATTTTTAGTGTATGATTGATTGATTGATTGATTATGAGTATGATGATGTGTTTAATATATAATTTTAGCTATAATAACAATTGAAAAGGATCTCATGGAGAATACAAAAATATGAAAAATAATAGATAATTTTAATTTAAACAATATATAAAGATATTACATTTTGAATAATGTTATTATAATCATTTTTGTTTTATTATAGTTAAAGGTCGATTTGGACCACGTATAGATTTTGAAATAGGGCCTCCACGATCTAGTAGACAACACTGCACCCACCTCTCGATCAATTTAGACTATTTTCATTTCTCCATTCAATTTTTGCGCTATATCCATTTTCTCTTCCTTCCAGATTTTCTTTCCTCCCTACTAGGGCTGGGAATTCGGTCTTGGTTTCTTGGTCAAACTGGATACGAGATCGTTTATTCCTGATGTAATCTTTTTCTGAACTTCAGTATTTTTTTACAATTATTTACTAATTTTTAATTTTGATAAATTTATGGGGAAAAAAATTAGGGCCACATTTTAAATTTTCGGACAGGGCCTCCAAATATCATGGGACGGCTCTGAATCAACCAGGAGATGAAACGGTACTTAGGAATAGAAAATTTTGACCACAAAATCCTCCACCACAAAGCTTTAGGTTTACGAGGTCTAATGGAAACCCAGACCCTTGGAACAGAGTACTTCACCACAATGTGCCCTTCCCAAGGACATCTTAATTGTATATATTTTGACTCACAGTTTAGTGGGTGGCTCAATATTTGGAAAATATTAATGTAAATAAAATGGATTGTTAGAAGTTAAAGGAGGTAAAAAGAAGGCTAAAGAAACTAAACAAGGAGGAATATGCAGAAATATTAGAACAAGTAAAATTTGCAAAAGAGGTATTGATTAAGGTGCAATCTGAAGTCCTAACCAACCCTACCAATTTCACTGTCTTTGCTGAAAAAGATGCTCCAGCTGCATTGCATGAACTCTTAAAGGTTGAGGAATTATTCTATAGACATAAGTCTAGAAAGATGTGGATCCAAAATGGAGACTCGAACACAAGGTATTTTCATAACTCTGTCTAAGATCAGGCAAGGAAGGTGTACCATAAAAACACTAGTTATATATGAGGTATAAATTTTGACAAACACAAAAAAGATGAGCCAGGAAGCTGTAAAATTCTACTTGGGATTATTGGGGAAGAGCAATTCTCAAGTTAGCAATGTATTTGTGAATATGACGGAGCAACTCCTATATACCAAACTAGATATGTAACAACCTGGATCCCACTGTTTGTCAGTACCACAAGAGGAAGTTATATCTTTTTTATGCTCAATGAAGGAAGACAAATCCCCTTAGTCAAATGGGTTTACAGCTGGTTTCTTCCAGTACAATTTGGAAATAGCTATCCGGGATTTCTTTAATTCTGGTTGTATGTTGGATGAGGTAAACTCCACTTCCCTTACCCTAGTTCCAAAATCCATTAATGTTGATAGTATGAAGATTTTAGATCAATCTCCTGTTGCAATATACTCTATAAATGCATCTAAAATGTACTTTGAAATAGATTGAAGGAAGTGGTTAGTCCCAATTAAGCTTTTGTTAAAAGGTAGACATACTAGTAACAATCTAATGTTGGCTCATGGTAAAGTTTTATAATAGGAAGAGTGCATCACCTAGGTGAATTCTCAAAGTGGACATAATGATAGCCTTTGATAGCGTAGACTTTAAATTCATGAAAATAGTTTTAAAAGTCTTAGAATTCCCAAATATGTTCATACACTGATTATGATATGTTTGAAAAGTACAAAACTAACTGTCAACTTTAACGAAGGTCTTCGTGGCTTGTTTTCTATAAAAAAAAAAAGATTGATACAAGGTCATCTCTTATCTCCATATATTGTTCACTCTATCAATGGAGATCCTCTCCAGCATGTTGAATAGAGTAATATAATAAAGTGTTCATTTTTCATCCTCGAGTTCACAGAATCAGGCTGACACACCTGTTTTTGCTATCTAATGATCTTTACAAAAAAGGGACCAGTAAGGCTGTAGAGCTGGTTAAAATGATTTTGGATAAATTCTATGAGGTATCTGATATGAAATGTAACTCAATTAAAAGTGAAAATCTGTGTCGTGATTGACAAAGATGAAATGCAAACCAAACCATAACATAGAAAATTGGGTTTCCTATATGGAAATTACCAGTAAGATACTTAGGGATCCCTTTACTAGTTGGTAAGCTGGGAATGAATGGATGCATAAGTATGGGTAGGGGTGTCCATTTGGGTTCGGTTTTTCGGGTTTATCCGAAACCGACCCGATTATATACATTTTCGATTTTTTGGGTTCGGGTTTTGGGTTTTTTGATTTCGGATTCGGTTTTGCTTATCGGTTTTTTCGGGTTCCGGCTAAAAACCTCCAATGAATAGAACTCAGCCCATATTCTTAGGCGTTCGGGTTTTCGGGTTTCGGTTTTGCTTTAACCGAACCCGATAAGGAATTTTCGGGTTTCGGGTAATCGGAATTTCAAGTCCTTATCGGGTTCGGTTTCAGTGATTTTCAGTTTCGGGTTTTTGGGTTTCGATTTGGGTAACCGAACCCGACCCGAACTGACACCCCTAAGTATGGGAGACAAAATCACTACTTAAATAAGAGGGTAGAAGGCAAAAATACAATTATATTCATAAAAAAAAAATACAATTATCCTTGCCTAGAATATCAAAGGCATAAAAGAGAGTGTGATGCATGGAAGGCAACCCATGTCTATTGTCTAACTTGAAGGCAACAAACAAAAGTACTACTAGCAGATAGCCGAGACTTGCCTTGAATTATTAGGCGTAGTTTGAAATTTGGCATGTGTTAAATAAAGTTGGTCACTTTTTAGCTTATAGGATGTTGACTTGATAAAACACAACTCCTAACAATGACTAAGTGTAACCAATGAAAGGGACTACAGTTGTCTCGTCCCGAATACCATAATTTAAATCCTGACTAAGGCCCAAGTATAAACTCTAGTTGGGTGCAGTATAGGGCAAGTATGTTTTAAAAGTCAAACTCGGGCCGGTCCATGTACCCCTACTTCATCTGTTTGAAATATTATTAGCAATCGATTTTTTGTTAAAACTATGGACTATAATTAAAAGCAATTGAAAATGTAAATGGTTAGGAATCATGATTTGATGAACCAAATAAAAGGTAATATGATAAAAAAAATAAAAGAAAGAGAAAAGGTACGAGAAAAAAATCTCATGAATCAAGATATAAAATCTCTCTGATTATGAGAGATTTGATATCTGTAGATTTTAGACATTTGAAATATCTAAAGCTAAAATCCACAATACAAAAAGCAACAAAAAAACATAACTTTATACAAAATCTACGGATTCAATGAATTCACACCCTAAATCCCGTTCTCCAAACAATCCCTAAATTTTTGTTGTGGTTCTCTTCTCCTCTTTTTTTCATTTCCCTTTTTCTTTTCATTTTGAGAACCACAAAATTTTGCCACATTTTTCTATCTTTTTAAGCACATGCCCAACGTTTAAGAACTACCTCCAACACTCACTTTTATTTCAAGCAGAAAACATGCAAAAACCACTTTTTGGAACCTTTAAGAGATGTATACGAGTTATTTTTCATTGTAGACACAAAGAAATAATTTTATTTTATTTTTGATAATGGTGATATGTGCATTAAGAAAGCAAAGAAACACCCAAGTCGCAGTTCAAAACAAGGAGCAAAAGAAAACCAGAAAACAAAACAGGAGCACAAGCAGTTAGGGTGTTGGGGGAACCGAGAAGCCCCTACAACCAAAAAACAACAAAACACCGATAGACAGCACACACAAATCGGCACTCTTAGAACAAAACAGACAACATCAGCCCAAAAGCAGGCACAAAGGGAGCAGCAATATAACATCTGCCACACATCCCACTGCTGATCACCCGTATCCCAGCACCAACATCCAGCCCCCTGGAACAAACAGAACCAGCTACCCATTATGTAAATTCATTCTTAACCACTCTCTCCCTCTCAGCCCCCTCTTAGTTGTATACTCACAGAAATATCCTAGTCCATGTTCTCACCTCGATGTTTGGCAATGTCTGAGATCCAAGCGAGACGGTTGATGGCAGCAGCTGCGACGTGCGGGAAGGTGTCTGCGAGAATCATATTCGGTACCCAGCAGTCATACCAGAATGACACCCGCTCACCGCCTCCAGGATCAATGTGGGCCGCTTTCCAGAAGTTTTTGTATTCCTTAGTAATGTTCGCCAGACTGACGAGCCAAACCCATCCCTGCATCTTTTACTTTCCCATACAGAAGACGTTGAAGGATACTTTAGAGCAATCAAATCCCTCCACCATTTCCCCTTTTCAGTTCCAAACTTCCACAACCACTTACACAACATTGCCTTGTTAAAACATTTAAGATCATGTATTCCAAGCCCACCATTTTCCTTTGCTGCCTTACACAAATCCCACATAACGAGACAACTCTTCCTAGCATCGCCAGCCCCGCTCCAGACAAAAAAAATTTCCATCCCATTCAGCACCGTAGTAGGAGCGCGTATAAGAGAGAAGAAATAAACCGGTTGACCATTTAAAACTGTACTATTAAGAGCCATCCGACCACCAAGTGAAAGATGTCTAGCTCTCCACCCTTCAATCCTCTTCTCGAACTTGCTAATAATGGGATCCCAAGTAGAGATTGCATTCACCTTTGCATCAAGCGGGAACCCAAAATACTTTGATGGTTCAGAGCTCCATTTGCAACCAAAAATGTTAGCAAAAAAAACTGAATTAGGAACATCACCCACTTTGAGCATAAGTGATTTATCGAGATTAATCTTCAACCCAAAGACAGCCTGAAAATAAACAAGAGTTGCCATGATGTTCAAAACTTGTTCATACGAAGCCTCGTAGAAAACTAGTGTATCATTCACAAATAGTAGGTGAGTGACTTCACCTCTACCGTTCAACTCATCCATACAAAACCATTGATCAATCCAGCCTCTTTCAGTTTGGAGATTATAAATGATA